CGCACCGCCAGCGTTTGCGTTGGTCATGTGACAGGCTCCATGCTGGACTGTAGAGGACGTCGTGCGGTGCACCGGTGTTGGACCATACACTGTTTCAAAGTTGCAGCGGGGTATGCACGTTGTGCACCTTCCCTTTCTGTCCGACACCTGGTGACCTGGTCACGCTCACCGATCACGTCCGCCCGTCTGACCTGTGACGGCCCGCCGCCCTTTCTGTCCGACACCTGGTGACCCGGTCACGCTCACCGATCACGTCCGCCCGTCTGACCTGTGACGGCCCGCCGCCCTGACTGTCCGACACCTGGTGACCCGGTCACGCCCACCGGTCACGTCCGCCCGTCTGACCTGTGACGGCCCGCCGCCGCTGCCGCAGGAGAGTTCACCGCCTACCTGAAGTGCTGTCGTGCCCTGTCTTTCGACGGCCGGCCGGACTACTCGTTCCTGCGCCAGCTCTTCCGCACCGTGTTCCACCGGGAAGGCTTCACCTACGACTACGTCTTCGACTGGAACATGCTCAAATTTGTGAGTAGTAGCGCATTTATCGTGTCAATTTATTGTCGTGCTGTATGCCGTTTTTCACCAAGACCGTTGGGATTTTCTAGAGAGCATACATCAGCGTTCACGCGATGTTTTTTTGTGCCTCTTCAGCGTCTCAGTCGACGTGGCTATAATACTATTGAGTTTCTTTGGTTCGCCTGCTGCCCATTTCAGCCAAAACCAAATTGTGAGCGTTTTTTGAGCTGCATAAGCCGTCGTTTAAGCATACAGGTACAGCCGTCGGGATCCGTTCGCTGCCGCGGTGTGCTGTCCTAACACAGCGCTGTGCTGTGGCTGTTTGGGCCGCGCAGCAGTCGTTCTGTGGCGATGGCCTGGGTGGCCGCTGTGCGCGGCTGTGTGGCCGCGCAGCAGTCGTTCTGTGGCGATGGCCTGGGTGGCCGCTGTGCTGTGGTTGCGGAGTCGGTGCGCCGGGCCGTCCTTGAGCTGACGTTGTCGGGTGTGGACAGGGCGGCTCGAAGAAGACCGAGAGTGAGGAGCGCGACCGGCGCCACCGGAGCGGCCAGCCGGCGCGCACCGGCTGGCCGGCGCGTCGCCGGCGCCCGCACCAGCCGCCCTGGGTGAGTCCGCCGCCGCCGCTGCGCCGCCCGCCGATCCCGCTCCTCTCGTCCGCCGCTCCACTGACCGCCCTCCGCCCGAACACCGCCCGAACACTGCCCGAACACCGCCCGAACACGGCCCGAACATCCGGGCTGAGCCGCCGACTCGAGCTACCGACGCGAGCTGCCGACTCGGCCGCCGCCGCACACTGGTGGCGAGAGAGAAACGGAGAACCAAAGACGGACTCATTAGAGAAGGAGTGGGGTGTCGCCGTGAGCGCCGCCCACCCAGCCGCACATCTGCACGGGCCGCTTTTAACCGCCCGCTAATCGATGTAACCGTAAATCGCCGATGCTGCGACTGGTGACACATGGTCCTGAAAATACAAATCAACCACGTATACCTCTGTTCTTTTCCTGCTGTCCTGTCATGCCTTCCGTAGGCTACCCGCGCCTCCCTAAATGCTGGTTTTGCCCCCAAACGAAGGGCTTGATTCTCGTGACATGCCCCACCTGTCTCGACTCGTGGATCGTGCTGTGCGTGGTCCGAGGCCTCTCGAGTGCGCGCTGTAAAGTGCACCGCTCACCTCCGCTCCCCTCGGGCGATCTCGGCCCTGGACGGCCGGGCATCTGGTGCCGCTCTGGAGGACTGGCCACGTCAGCACTCTGCCAGCCGTCGCGCGGGCTGATACTGTCCCCTGGCCGTGTCAACACCTGGGGCGCCTGGCGCCACGCCCGCCCCGGACGGCCCCAGCTCCGGACCCGTCCGGGTGGTCTCCTTGCACCTGACGCCTGTTCTGTCCGTGGCGCCACGCCCGCCCCGGACGGCCCCAGCTCCGGACCCCGTCCGGGTGGTCTCCTTGCACCTGGCGCCTGTACTGTCCGTGACGCCTGCCCGCTCCTGGCGGCCCCGTCATCCGTCCTGCCGCCGACGGCCCCAGCTCCGGGACTCCGTCCCGGTGGTCTCCTCGTACTTGACGCCTGTACTGTCCCGTGACGCCTGCCCGCTCCTGGCGGTCCCATCCGTCCTGCCGCCGACGCTCCCGAGCGGCCCGCGTCGCCGAGCCGGGCCGGCCGTGTAGCGCCGCGCCGCGGAGGACCAGCGGCGCTCCTGACGGCTGAGGGCCGCTGGCGAGCCGACCGACCGGCCGCGGCGTCTGCGTGAGTACCGGCGCCGCCGCCCGCCCGCTGTCGCCCACTAACGCGCGACGAGCCCGGCCAGGCCCGCGTCCGTCGGCCACGCACGCGCGCGCCGCGCCGCGGACGTCCCCGCGCCGCGCCGTGGACGTCCCCGCGCGCCGCGCCGCGGGCGTCCCAGCGCGCCGCGCCGCGGGCGTCCCAGCGCGCCGCGCCGTGGGCGTCCCCGCGCGCCGCGCCGTGGACGTCCCCGCGCGCCGCGCCGTGGGCGTCCCTGCGCGCCGCGCCGTGGGCGTCCCCGCGCGCCGCGCCGTGGACGTCCCCGCGCGCCGCGCCGCGGGCGTCCCCGCGCGCCGCGCCGTGGGCGTCCCCGCGCGCCGCGCCGTGGACGTCCCCGCGCGCCGCGCCGTGGGCGTCCCCGCGCCCCACAGCTGTGTGCGGGACTTGCCGTGGCCGGACATGCAACCGAACGCATTTCTCCGGGTGGAAACTTTGTTTTGCTGCATTATCGCAATCTAGATGCAGATTGAAATATGTTGTATCGTAAGACAGCGTGGGTATTACCCATCTGCGCAGAACTTGATATCATGCAAGCCTCATGAGAAATGCATGTGTGTGCGGGAATTTCGTATGCTGAAATCTTTCTTTACGTTACGTTTGTTGCTGTTCAAATGACAACTCTTGGCAATGCGTTTGATACCTACGTTTTTTATTACGTTTTTATATGCAAAAATAACTTTGTGAGCCATTTGCAGTTGCATTTTACAGGCCTTCCTACCGTATGGTAGCGCAGACTTATAGCCAAACGATTGTGATTAGAATATACATGCAATATATACTCGGTAGGCTGTTTTTGACTGCTCAACCCCACGGTTCAGAGCAGATTTTACTTGCAGAATGAGCCTCGAGACTTAGAGAAATATGCTCAAACCTGGAGATGGCAGACTGAAAGAAACGGGTTCCACAGCTGCGAAGGCGTCGCGCAGTCGTTGGGCCTGGTTTGGCACCCCTCCTGGGTGGAGCCCTGGTGACGCCGCTGATAAACCGTACCGTATCAGAACATATCCTCGCGCACGATAAGCCCATCGTGCTCGAAGTCACCGTTTTGCTGAAGGGGCATGCATTTGGTGCACAGAGTGATATTCTAATGCCTCTTCTTTTGATGAAGGGGCGTGCATTTGCCGCACAAGGTTATGTGCTAAGGTCCCTTCCTCAGTCCAACTATCGCACCACCCGGATTTTCCGGAGCAGGACAGTTTGATGCCAGATTTGTGAAGCGCGGAATGTCGATGTACCATGACGAGCGGCATAGTTGTCATTTCGGTGTGCGACCGTAATGGCTATATTTATTGGCTTTATCGGCTATTTTATAATTATATGGTGTGATCATCTATACACCGTCACGGCTTGGTAGAAATACTTTAAGTGTGTCAGCATAAATTTGGTTACCAACCGATGCATATGTGTTTAAGTGCACACGGAATCAGCAGTACGCACACACGCGATAACTTCGGAGATTGCCTGGGGGAAGAATAACGTGCACATAGTCCATATATAAAATTTTGCCATACAAAGTGTTCGTGAGCAGTTTTGCACAGTGGCATTTTGACATCAGAAATGTTTGTGTAAGGGAGTGAAAATGTGATGCGGAGCTTGCGCGCGAAGGAATGCGGCACACCGTCCCGTTGTGAGGGCCGAGCTGCGCGTCATCTAATGCCTTTTTGACACATCGCTGGCTGGTACGGCGCTGATTGGTGCGCTGGATTTCGTGACTAGCCAATGTCGGACTTTGGCCTCTCACTTTGATCGTGTTTTTTTTTGTTTTTGTTTTTGTTTTTTGCGTGCGCGCATAATCGGCCACGGTTTTCTAGTTTCAAGAAAAATAGGACGAATTTGAATTCAGTTTGAATTCTTTTTACGATGGTAATGTTTTTATTTACATTATGATACTTCGTCTTTCAGCGATATTATCACACGGCTTGAGAATGCCACGGCTTGCATTGCTATACTGTTGGAGAGTTAGAGGCAACTTCAGGGACGCGAAGTATACAGACGGCGACCAGGCTAGGCGCTTTAATTCGCTTAACATGTCTTGAGCTTCGTGTAGGATCTGTGCTTAACGTTGATCTGAAGCATGATGCGGCCTCCTGTGCCTATTTGGTGCTGCTGGATGTACGTCACCATCACTGAAATGGAAGTGACATAATAAAAACGGACGCGTGGCAATGCTTACACTCTGGCAGAGTACCGTGGCGTCATTTCCAAGCACCCTAGCGCGTCGCGCTCTGCCCTGACTGAATGCTGCCGCTGCGGTATGAGTTCGGCCACTGACTCGTGCTGTATGGACAGCGGCGGCTTTAGGCGCTAGCAACCTATCCTTGTGTAGAACGTGCTTGGAAAGGGTGTGAGTTTGGACCAGACGACGTTTCTGTGTTGACCATGACTGGAACAGGCAGAGGTCGTTTTGTGTCTCCGTAGTTCGTCGCTCTGCTCACTTGTCACATGCGTCAATGACCTTCTCCAGCGTGTATGGTCTGTGCGCCGTCCCGTGGGGTGCCAGGCGGCAGGCACGCCGCCGTCAGCACTCACCGAGAGGCGCGGCAGTGCCCTGCTGTTCATGATCGACCGCCGCCTGACGTGACCCGCCCGGACCCACCCTGACTTAACCTGACCCGCCGGTGCCGGCGCCGCCAGGGGGCCAGCTGGCGGGGCGTGCGACGGTGCGGCCGCCCAGCGGTGGCGCCGAGGCCGACTCGCGGCGCGTCTACCTGCGCGGTCACCGCACGGCGGCCGGCGCGGCCGGCGTCACCGGCGCCGGCGGCGGCGGCGGCGGCGGCGGCGCCCAGCACACGCTCAGCACCGTGCCCAACCTGTCCACCTCCGATCTCACGTACGGCAGGGCTGCCAGGTGAGTCCGGGAGGAGGAGCCGGCGCCGGTCCGGTCATACCGGCCACACCGCGGAGCTTGGTGTCCCGGGCACTTGTCAGGCCCCTCACGGTCAGGTCGGGTAATTTTGAGCCAGAATCAGCAGCTGGACGCAAAGAGCAGGCAGGCGGCGGTGAAAAGGCTAAGTGCAGGGAAGCATTAGGTCCAGAACAGGACGTTGAGAGATTGTGATAATGAAGCGTTTCTAGTGCCGACGCTGCCGGGTAGTTCAGCTTGTTATACAGCCCAGGAGCGCTCGGTATGGGAAGGTGAGGGTGCAGATTACATTTTATCGGTGCTTGAGAGGTTTTCTCAAGCACCGATAAAATGATTTGTTCTCAAGCCAGATTTTTCAGTCAAATGTCGTGCAACGCTGAGGGACTTTTATAATCTTTTTTGTCCGATTCAGGATTGCCTGAGCGTGTCTGGGGTTATTTTGTACCTGAAACGCGCATCGGACGGTTACGTTTTTGGAACTTCTTGGCCAGTCGTAAGCAACTAGATCAAACCACATTCTTAACGCTGGTAAAGATGCGAGGCGCGTTCAGAACCGCGAGTGAAGGTTAGCGGTCCGAGCGAGCGCGCGTTGCGCTGATTGTCTCCGGTGGGAGGTGCTCCCACACGCGGGATGTGATCAGCTGACGCGACGGGCCGGTCAGCTCGAGCAGTTGGTCTGTTTCAAGGGGGATGGTGGGGTGTCTCCATCCACAGCTGTCAAGTGACTCCAGGCGTGTCTGCGATCTTCAGGCATGAAGCTGAAGTGTGAATAGCGTGGTTAGATGTCACATGCGTGCTGGCTACACTTTTCCCCCGTGATTTCGGTAGCCGTTCACATGTTGGAAAGCATGCATGTGTGCCGGCTTCTGATACGCTCCTCGTGTACGTTTCAGCTCGACGTGGAAGAAGTAGTACATGTTGCCGGCGACGAGCATGGCCGAGGTCGTCCGGCCAGCCGATGCCCGCATACATATAACTAGTGCTGCCCCGACTCGGGCCGGACACACACCTCAGCTTTGCCCGCCGCCGCCGGGTGTCGGGCGGCGCACGTGCACTAACCGGCGAGGCGGTCACGTACTTGGTGCAGTGTTTTATAATCGTGATACGTGGACTTTGTACTGACGGTGAACCAGCGCTTGCTTATTGATACCACGTGGTCTCGGCTGTGCGGTCAGCGCCCATCCCACTGGGGTGTTGGCCGGCGGGGCGGGGCCCAG